CTGAATTCCAATAAAATACTTCATTAAATCATTTATAATTTCATTCATTAATTCTTAAAAATATTAAACAGAGTTCAGTGTGGCAACTTGTAGTCAGGAGGCTGAAGCAGGGGACAGCGAGTTTGGGGTTAATCTGGATTACAGAGCATACCTTATCTCACCAGAAAAAAAATAAAAAGAGTATACACTGAGGAATTATAATACAACGACTATAAAGGAAACCAAAATCAATACTATCTAAAGCCAAACTATTTGAGAACGGCATTAGTGAGCAGACTTCAGATACTGACGGGCTGGTGCTTCTCCTGAGGCGCATGAGAGTCCAGCTAAGCCTTTTAGGACCACGAAGACACACGCTTCAAGAGTGGCCCTCATTAAATCCTACAGACTAGGTCAAGCTAAGGTGCTAACACTGAAAATTACATCAGTTTTACGGCTTCCCACAATTACAGTAACATTCATAGAGTGATAGACTTTGAACAGTGCATCAACTACTAGAGCCATACCAACTCAAACACACCCCTGTGGTCTGGATGTGGTCTGTCCCCAAGGGCTCACGCTCTAGCAGCTGGGTCCCTGGTCTAGCAACTGTCAATGGCGGCGCACCCTTACGAGGCAGGCCATGATGATGCCACCCTCAGAAGGGATGAGCGCTGTTTTTACAGAGAGAGCAGGTTAAGGCCTCAAGGCTGGATAAGTTTCCTTAAGAAGCAGTGTTCTGAAGAGTAGCTCCAGGCCAATCTGCTCCATTTCCTTGCTGACACATGCCCCGAGCACATCTGAGACAAACAAATCTCCTTTCTCAGAGCCGCATAAAGAGGGCGAAGACACAGACTAGAGAGGCCTGGACTCGTAGTGTAGTAATAGTCTTAATCTTTCTCTAACCATCACTTACATGCTACTATTTTCCACTATGAAACACACTACGTATAAATGTGATTTCCAATTACTTTTAGAAAGTGAAAATATCCACAAGAGGAGATTTCTGTAAAACATAAACTAAGAAGGGAAAAACTAAGGTAGAGTTTTCCATAGCAATGCTGCTAAATTTAGCATGTGGTTAGTAAAAATACCCCTTATCAGAGATTGGCACCATCACAACCACCATGCTCCTGACTGGTAACGTCACAGTACAATAGTCCCCTCCTATCATAAAAAGTAAATTCTCAGTGCTGTCCTGCCGTTCCCTCCGCTTGACACTCCCCAGTGTTTCCCACTCAGAAAAGGTCAAATCCTCCAGCTAGGCCCTGATCTCTTCACTCTCCTGGTCAGCTCCACCCCAACACTTCCTACTCAGCCTGCAGCTTCTATGGCCTTGCTCAGACTCCTTCCCTGCCTACCTGGTCCACGTCTGTGCCTTTTCCTCCCAGCACTTCTCACAGGGCACAGCTGCACATGTATTCAAATAAGTCCCCACTGTTTGCCTACACTGCCCGACTAGCTCCACGCTGATGTGTTTGTTCGAGGCAGTCTATCCAATACCTGGCATTGTGCCTGGGCGTGGAAGGTGCTGGATAAATATTTGGTGAATAAATGAATGGGTGAATAAATCATGAGGCTTTATGCCTATGTAACAGATCTGTCGGAAGTAAAGCAGGACAGCATGTAATCAGAGAATACCTGTATTAGCCCAAGAACAAATATGCACACTAATAAAGGCTATACAAATAGAGATCATACAACAAAAGCAGGCTTGCCATCAGAATCTGCCTCGGCATAGATGCTAGCATCCATGGATGACTAAGAGGCCCTATCTCCTGCTGTTTACCATGGGCAAAGAAATATTTTGTCTCCAAAAAGAAATACCAAGCAGACACCAGAACACTGAAATGCATAAGAGGAAACTAGAGATCAGAAGAGGCAGCAGGGATCACGGACAAGGTAAACCAGCAATGTCAACAGAGAAAACAAGAACGGCAGCAGAACCAAGTATGTCTAATGCCACAGCCAAAAAGAGATGGAAAGAATAAAGGTGCATTAGGAGCTGGGAGTTCACTTCCCAGTACTGCCTGTCAGCCAACGCCTATTGGTTCATAGATTCAGTTAAACACCTAAGTATGAAGAAATTCTGTTCGTGGCTGAATGGAACTCAGAAGCAGCAAGGGCCAGCAGAGAAAACACAGCAGCAAGAATGGCATGGCCACACAGACATCGGTGTACATCTGAGAAGTCCCAGAAGGCCACAGCTTGGGACTGAGGTCCAGGTCCCTAGACGGTGGGAAGCAGATTTAGTCCTTATTCACAGTGCAAACAATATTCTGTATTTACTAGGTACAAGGCCTTCTGAGGCAGTAAGACAAGTGAGTAAGGCCACAATGACCAGTGGCTCCCATGCACGTGCTTGCACACACGCGAGCACACAGGTCCCTTGTATCTTCATCTTAGTCGGCCATGGTGAGTCAGGCTCAGCTATCAGATCCTCTTCTGAGAATACGAATCTTTAGTGTGACAGTTACATAGTGGAGGAAGGAGCAGCCATACCAATAACTTCCTTGGGACATGCATTGTCCTCTTTCACAACACTGGCTGCTCAGCTGCCCTGACTCTTGACTCTTGCACCCTTCTCTAGCATGACATTTCTACTTTTGCCATTCTTATTTATTTATTTATAGCCAGAATTTGCTCACAACCAAAGTACATTATGGCCTGCTTATTGTCAATTTGCTTAGCTTACAAATGAGTATCCTAAGATGCTGAGGAGAAAAGATTTTTCTCCATATTACAAAGAGGGTCAAGACCCGGTGTGCCCAACTCTTAGTATTGTGGATACTGTGTTTAAACAGACTGGACAACTACTAAGAGATGTGTGCCTTAAATCTATTGAATGAAATCTAAGCAAATAGTAAAACAATAAAAGCTAAATTTGGCGTTAAGAAAGGCAGAGAACAAATAAACAAGAGCCACTGAGCCTATGTGCCCAGAGCTACAGTTTTACATTGTATCAGAGGATGATCTGAGTCGTCAAAGCAAGATCTGTGTGTGTGTTGCTAGTGACCAAACTTAGGACCTTGTACATGCTAGGCAAGTAACTTTACTACCCAGCTACAGCCCCAGCTTTCTGTAGCTTTTGTCAGCCATTCTATTAACATAAAATTCCTTATTTTAAAAAGAAATAATAAACAGTATATAGAAAAATAAGAAATGGGAGATAAATGCCAATGGCTATGTAAAATTAAAAAGACCATATTTATACTGCAGGAATATGTTTAGTACTTGCCATGTGCTCTCAAACGTCTGTCTTACTCTCCTTCCTCACCAGACACTTGGACGTCCCCAGCAGATGGTGGTTTAGGGAGGCACAGCTGGCTGGACTGCTGAAGGCAGTCCTGTGAAGATCACTGCGCTCAGCCTGGGCCGCAGTCCCCTCTTGCTTCCTGACCCACCATAAGGGAAGAGGTTACACTGCAAAGTCTAGCCACCAGTGACTGAGCCACTATCTGTGCCATCATGGCCACCATCAAGTGGCACCTCCCGAAAGTGAGCCAGAGTAAGTTGACTTGTCAAGCATTTTGTCAGAGAGAAAAGTAACTAAAACAGACTGTCTAATGTTTCCAGTGTCCTTGACTTCCCAACAACTTGTTGCTATTCTCTTCCTTTCTTCAGATCTTGGTAAAGGTAGGTTTACTTATAAAATGTCATTTCTTCTCCCAACGTCTACTGTGGCTTTCTGTGGCCAAAGCATGCGCACTCAACATTAATCTTTCTCGACTCTTTGGTCATCATTAGCAGACTATCTGGGCTGGTACACTCTATCAGATTCTCTCAATGGCACTGCTTCAGGATTTCCTGATACCCAAGTGATCGCAGGCTGACCAGCTAAAGCTGTACACAGGCCACACTTGATTCCAAGGAAGCATCCGTCATGTTCCCTGAGGGCTGGTGTCCAGTAAAAACACAATCAGCACTTGATCTGTCCAGGCTGTTCAAAGCCGTAATCACAAACACACCCAGAAGGCCCATGAGAAACATCATGCATTATCAAAAAGATTCTATGGCAAAGAACTGATTTTACTGAAAATTCTTGTCAAGAGTGTAATATGTAAAAATCTGTCATAGTGATAACTTATATTGACAACCAGCCTAGAAACTCAGATTTTTCTCTTGCTTATATATCGGAGAACACATGGTTTAATCCTTTTTTAAAATTTAACATTTTATTTACTTCAAACTCTGTCTTAGTTACTGTTTTATTGCTCTGAAGGAACACCATGACCAGGGCAACTCTTACAGAATTTTGATCAGGAGCTTGCTTCCAGTTTTAGAGGTTAGACCATGATCATGGCGGCAGGAAGCAGACAGGCATGGCACTGGAGCAGGGACTGAGAGCTTACATCCTGATCCACAGGCAGCAGGCACAGATGGATACTAAGACTGGGCGTGGTGTGGGCTTTTGAAACCTCAAAGCCCATCCCCCGTGACACACCTTCTCCAAAAAGGCCACACCTCCTAATCTTTCCCAAGTAGTTCCAACTGGGGACCAAGCGTTTACATTTATGGGCCTAAGGTGGTCGCTCTTGTTCAGACTACACAAACATACTGGGATGACATACGCACAATGAGCATCCCCTATCACTCAGACCTGCGTACTTTACATCGTATTAATCATGTAAACTCAATTCCAAGTCACATGCAGACAATGTAGAAACACGCTGTGCTCGAGTGAGAGGAGGAAAATAATGGATCTTAGCACGCCCAGATTTAATACAAAAAATTCCGTAGGAGAAAGGGCATCACACAGCTCTCAAACCCAGAAGTAACTTGGTGATCCCTAAAACAGGCATGGACTTCAGAGTCACCTGCCCAGCCATCCCGGAAGGTCTCCAGATATGCTGGCGCACTAACAACAGGAAGCAGGAAGAGGAGGCTGTGGACACCTACTGGGTCAGGTCAAGGTGCTGCTACACACCTCACAGTGCACAGCTCAGCTCTACAGACACGGCTGAAATTCTGTCCTCCGTGGAGACCAGAGGTGCCTTCTGCCTTCTGCCATGGCCGCCTACCTTGGATGCCTGGGGTGTGGAGACCACGTGGATTGTGCTGGGCTTGACACCGTTGGCCTTGGTCCGCTTATAGAGGGCAAATCTGCTTTTCCTCCTGCCCCTGTCACCATTAGGCAAAGCACCATTGTACCTAAAACAAAAACAGAAACACTCACTTGTCTGCAAACTTTCAAAGCGTCAAGGGCGAAGGCTTGCAGAAGGGGGCGGGGTGGGGAGAAAGCTGCTCACTGAGCCCCCATGGAGGGGAGTACTGCACGTAGACTTCAGCGGTAACAAAACCCAAATGGCTTCCAGAGACTGCATTGAAAAGTGATGCACAAGTAATTATAGGTTTCCTACTCTACAAAGACAGAATCTTCGGATCCTTTTCAGAAGAGACAAACGAGAAGTCTGCAGGGGCCACGCGAGTGCTGGCTTGATCCTGCCTGTACTGCTCTAATAGACCTCGGGAAACACTTGAGAAACGTTTCAGATGAACTAGTTAGCAAAGAGTATGCTAATTAAAACTCATCTCTCAAATCATCATAATGCTTTATGATCTGTTCTGCAAAAAGACCGAATTTAGTTACTTACTTTCTTAAAAGTTTTGAATCCTATATGCATTCTCATTTGTTTGAACCCTATACTGCTAGGTTAACAGGGGGAAAAAAGCCAGCTTGTACAAATTATACATGCATTTTAGCCACTCTCAGAAAGCCTGGCGAGTAAACAAGTCCTGGGTAAGATTTCTTACATTTAGCTAATGACAGAGTTTAAAGAAATTCAGGATTACAGCTGACAGTCTGGTTTTAACTGCATGTGCTAACCATAGATTTACTGATCTCTGAATGTTTTAACCAGCATCCCATGTGGCCACGCAGATTTGACTAAGATTCTTTGCTGGCAACACGGAGAACCTCCTCTCAAGAGGAGTGAAAGGGGGTCGTATAAATTTACTCAGATAAACACAGCTGCTCCAAAGTCCTCTGAGAACATCAAAGACAAGGGCCATGGGGCTGGTGGCTTGCTCCTACTCTGCCTTATTCAGGAAGAGAGGTGTGGCGTGGGAGGGTGAGGCCCCTGGGAACTGCAGCAGTTGGAACAAAGAGGTCTGGGTGTATATTTAAGAGCTGAGTCAACAGCCTCACCAGACAGTGGTTTCAAATCATCACAGAAGCTCTTTCTCCTGTGCTTATAATCTGTTTCCATGCCCATCAGAAAGGAACCAGCTATCTAAAGATGCCTCTGGACTAAATAAATAATTTGTTTCACCTTTTAGGCCTCTCTTTTTTCCCTGAGGCAAGATCAGAAAAATGTACAGCTTCCATGAATCTGCAATCACTACTATCAAGCACTCACTTCTGGGTATTCTGACACCACACTCCGAACTAGCAGTCTATATCAAAGGAAACACAGAACCAATTAAAGTTGAGACAGTAGACAACGTTTAGGAGCATTTTCACTGCTGTAGACCAGGCAGACGACAAGCTCTGTCAGGGTTTCCCATGCCATACTCTCCTCACTTGCTCACACACTCCTGGTCCGGAAGGGGACGCAGCCTGGTCCGGAAAGGGCCCAGCCTGGGAAGTGTGCAATTGTGCGGCATTCCCTTCTCCCCAGTCTGCCCCTCCCCTCACACCCAAGATTCCCTGTTTTGGTAGAAGATGGTATTGCCAACACCCCTCTCTGTCCCTCTCCCTTTACACCTGGCCCAATCTGGTCAACACCCCCTCATCCTAGAACATATAAAACTGGGACGAGGACAACTGACTGTTTCCTGCAGGTGGCCTAACCACATAAACACAGAGCTAGGGGAATGTCACATTCTGACTGAAGCAAAAGTGAGGGACACAGAATTCATTAGGGCTTTCGTTGATTCAGATGTACTCTAACCCTTACTCAACGAGATTCTTGTTTACAGCCTCAACGTTAGATCCAGCCCAAAGAGACGGAGTCAGAAACGCCAACACATGCAGAAACAATTTAATTTCAATTGCCTGTGTCCATGCATAGATGAACAGATACTGTAGGTTAGACAAACAAACCAGCATGTGGACAGATTGCCTACTTAATGTACCTAGATGATGACAAGCAAAAAATCGTTCTGGAAACAAAGCAGTAGCGGGAAGCAGTGATGAAGATGAGACGCGTTTCTAATTAGTTTAAGCTCCCAAGCCATTCATTCAATATTTATAGTGCCCAGTGCTAGAGCTGCAATGAGAACCAGCTTCCTGTGCGGAAGGAGAGAAAGCTGCAGCAGTGTGGCAAACACACGGGGCAAGGAGGCGCCAGCGCAGAGCAGGGAAAGGCCCTGGACTTGTCCTGAATCCAAGCACACTTAAAACAAGGCGGGCTGAGAGGGTTCCGAGTTCTCCGTTCCCAGAGTGGGGAAGCCGTGGAAAGGAAGGTGGGGAAAACAGACAGTTGAGATTACAAGAGCAGGGCACTGTAGGACAGGTACAGGAGACCAGGGGAGTCTGGCGGGATTTGCTCAGCGTGACAGGACATAGGGACTCAGCAAGTAGGGTTCAAAGTGCAGGAAAAACTAGTAGGATTGCTGGAAACAATCAGCAGAGAGCACCGTAACTGCCAAGGGGCAGGCAGAAGATGGATGCTACCCCCTCCTCCCCAAAAATGTATAAGTACATTCTGGAGCCTGTGAGTGGACCTTTCAGAAAAAGGCAAAGGCTCTCAAGATAAAGTCATCTTGCGTTGTTGGGGGAACCTAGCTTTAATGACAGGAATTTTTAAGAGGCATTGGGGAACAGAGGGAGAGACCATGTAAGACAGACAGGGAGCCCAGAGTTATACAAGCACTCTAAGAAATGCCTGGAGTCACCAAGAACTGGAAGAAACAGGAAGGATCTCCCCTGGAGCTATCACAGGGATGGGGCCCTGTCCACACCTTGATGTCAGCCTTCAAGCCTTCCAGGACTGTGAAAATATCAACAGCTGTTGTCTCAAGCCACAAAGTGGGTGCTCACATATTATACGAGCCCAGGAAATTCCACAGACTGATTCAAAGCCAAACTGTGGAAATGGGCTAGGGCACAATAAAGGTTTAGCGCTGTCTTGAGATGGTGTAAAAATCAGCAAAACTAGAGAGTATTACACAAATATGGAAAGCTCCACCCTGGAGATTCTAACACAGCATGGGGAGCGGGCTCCAGATCCATACCTCGAACCCAGAACAATTCAATGGTGTAGGCAGAGAAGGAAAAAATCAGAGAGGCTCTGGCCTGGCCAGGATGAGGGCACTTGAAATAAGCACTGGACTTCCAGGTTATTCAGAGAAGACACAAAGGAGGGCAGATGTCAGAGGTCTGGTGGCAAAGGCTTTTGCTATGGGGGGAGGGGGCAAACATCAGAGGATGAACAAGATGACTGTTCAAGGGAAAGCTGCAGAGTGGGACATGAAGAAGGCGGAGGCAATGATTATGGGTGGGAACCACTACCGGAACCCACCCTTCTTAGGTGTGCGTAGAAGGATACAGCCCAGGAGGAAGTTTTATCACAAAGACAGAACAGAACAGAACAGAACAGAACAGAACAGAACAGAACAGAACAGAACAGAACAGAACAGCAGTATTGGTCATCGGCCATAGATGACCTTTTCACTTCAAGGTCTCCCTTGGAGGCTCTCCTGTCAAGGAACTTGGTCTGGGTGGTCACAAATCCCTCCTTACTGACCCCCTGAGAAATGGACTCTAATTTCCTCTTCCCTAAACGTGGGTTGACCTTCCTGACCTATGACCTATTTGCCAACAAGATGTAGGAGTGGCCAGAGTCTGAAACTTCCCACACCAGGCATAAAGAAGCTTTTGGCTTCTGCTGGGACGCTGAGGACCCTGAGCTGCCTCCGATGCCACTAAGGCACTAAAAGAATGGTTGGTGATGCTCTCGGCTTCACAGTCTTTACGCTGATGCTCAATCAATTTCAAGCCTGGAATGGGGCTTGAAACAACCTGACAACCATCACCAGCTCCCCTCCCCATCCCCAGTTCTCCTCCCCTCCACTCCCCTCCCCACCATCAGCTCCCTTCCCCTTCCCTCCCCATCCCCAGCTCCCCTCCTTTTCTCTCCCCATTCCCAGCTCTCCTCCCCTCCCCTCTCTATCCCCAGCTCTCCTCCCTTCCCCTCCCATCACCAGCTCCCCTCCCCATCCCCAGTTCTCCTCCCCTCCACTCCCCTCCCCACCATCAGCTCCCTTCCCCTTCCCTCCCCATCCCCAGCTCCCCTCCTTTTCTCTCCCCATTCCCAGCTCTCCTCCCCTCCCCTCTCTATCCCCAGCTCTCCTCCCTTCCCCTCCCATCACCAGCTCCCCTCCCCTCCCCATCACCAGCTCTCCTCCCTCCACTCCCCTCCCCATCTGGTGTCCCACCACCCCCAAGAGAACTGTGGGATCCTGGGAAATCGAGGCACCTGGCACATTGCACCAGAAACACACAGTAAGCATGGAAAGCCCTGCCCGTTGGTGGGCCCAGGCAGAAAGGAAAAATTGTGCTTACAGAGGCAAAAAAGGGCACTGCTCACAGAAGGAGGTCAGAATGCCCTCTGCCTGGCACCTTCCACAGGGGAATCTACAGAAACTGAAGGTGCGGGTGCGACTGACTCACCTTTCAGCCACTGAATGGGGTGTCCAGCTGGAGCCCACAGGGGGCTCCATAAGATTCACATTAAAAAAAATAAATCCGAGGAAGGTTTTAAACATCCATTTATTTGGCTGATGAGTGATTAAAAACTCTTTCAAGACGCAGAGCAAACAGCTTGGCTTTGCAGTAAACATATTTGGAATTTTCAAAAGATAAAATGCTGTGGGGAAATCTGCCCAAGAATTAAAGGGGTTCCCTTGATTTACAATATAGAGTTTGTATACTAATGTCCATCAATATCATTTTCTGTTCACTTGTTTTCTGAAATGGAGGCAATGCTCTTAACACTAGTAAAAACCTCAAAGTGGGAAGAATACACAGACTTAACAGGCAGGAAAGGTTAGGCAGAACCTAAAGCCACGTCCAGTCCTGTATCACTCCAAATAGGGTGCTTTCCAGTCGACAGCAAGAAGTTATCAGTTCAAGGCATCTCCTGACACACGACACAATAACACCATCTTGAAATAACACTTGCCACCTAAAAATTCACTTGTCAATA